GAACTTTAATCATATTTTAACCTACTTTTAATGCATACCTAATTTTTCTGTTACTAATTGAGTAAGATCTATAACATTTTCTATTACTCTTAATGTCATCATCTATAGCTTTTTCATCCTATTAATCCAGAAATCATGTCACCTTTTTGAGAAGAGGAAAAACTAATACATTGCAGTAAGTATCTTTTCCCCATATAAATTATCGCATTACTCTAATGAGCGTAGCATTTTAGATTTTCTTTGAGTAAATCAAAGAAAGGGCAGACTGATACAGTCATCTCTTTTTCACATCTTTTTTTTCATTCTTATATTATTTTATTCATTTTAGGCCACTTTTTAAAAACACTTTAATTATTTTAAAGATTTGTTTCAGAAGTGTTTTCAGCTTTCAAAATGTATGTCCTCTACCACCTGCCTCCCAAGCACAAGGTCCCGAGTTTGATATCTGGTACCAAAAATATATATATCCTGACTCTTCATTAAATTTAAAGGAAAAAATTCCCAATGAAGTATGTCTTCATATTGTATACCTAAAATGTACCAATAAACTTAATTTAAAAATTTACCTCTAGATACGTGTATGTATTTTTTTCATTAAGTTTATTGGTACATTTTAGGTATAAAATATAGTTACATTCATCATTGGGATCTTGGTTCTTATTTTTTCCCCATTCCCCTGCCCTCCCTTCACCCCCTCCACCCTTCCCTATTTACAAAGACTTTGTTTCTATTTTTTCCTTTTCTCATATTTTTTCATTTCCCTTTTTTCCTTTCTCCTACCTTGCCCACTTCCCCTACTCCTTTAGGCCTTTTCTTCCTATTTCACAATATCAATTATACATTTTGATCCTTATTTACACTTTTACTTTTTCACACCAGAGAAACTATTTGGTATTTACATGTGTGTCCTATTTATTTCACTTAAGAGTATGGCCTCAATGTTCATCCACTTAGCTGTAAATGTCTCTAGTTTCTTGTTCTTTATGGCTGAGTAGTACTCCATTCTATAAAAAAAACCAAACCAAAAAACACATCTTCTTTATCCAGTCTCCAGTTGATGGGCAATTGGGCTGTTTCCAAGTTTTAACTATTACAGACTGTGCCACTATAAACATGGTGAGCATATATCATTGAGGTATGATTCTTTTAATTCTTTTGGGAAGATACTCAGCAGAGGAATAGCTGGGTCAAATGGGACTTCTAATCCTAGTTGTTTGAGGTATCTCCATATTGATTTCCACAGGGGTTGCACCAGACTGCACTCGCATCAACAATGGAGAAGGGTTCCTTTCTCCCCACAACCATACCAGCATGTGTTATTGATTGATTTCTTGATAGCAGCCATTCTTTCTGGGTTGAGGTGGAATTTCAGTGTTGTTTTCATTTGCATCTCTTGACTGACCAGTGACGTTGAACATTTTTTCATATGTTTATTTCTCCTTTTACTTCTTTGTCTGAGATGTCTGTTTATTTCAGATGCCCATTTTTGAATTGGGTCTTTATTTTGGGGGGCAGTCCTGATCTTTTT